CTCCCCTGATGGTTTTCTTAATGTTTTCCTAGCTTCCTGGTCAATATATTTATCATCACCTTCTGTCAGAAAGGAAGGAAAAATCAACCAGAAATTAAGGCAATAAATTGTCACACAGGCTGTGTGAGCATGATGAAGATAATTTAATTGCCGAAACTTTTTTTTCTTCCAGTCACAAGTTTTTTTGGTAATTCATTAATTTTTGTTTAAACTTAGAATTCAGAATCAGTCCTCTAACTGTAAGGGTTGTTTAAGGAATAGTCTGATGATTTGATAGTAAACATGATAAAGGTTACTAAATGTTTAAAGCCATATTTTCCCCAAGTTTCTACTGATTACAAAAGCCATATTTTCCCCATTACATTTCTACTGATTACAAAAGCCAATTATTTTCCCCATCATGTTTCAGCTGATTACAAAAGTCAATTATTTTCCCCATCATGTTTCAGCTGATTACAAAGGACATATTTTCCCCATCAAGTTTCTACTAATTACAAAAGCCATATTTTCCCCATCAAGTTTCTACTGATTACAAAAGCCATATTTTCCCCATTACGTTTCTTCTGATTACAAAAGACAAATTTTTTCCATCATGATTCTTCTGATTATAATGAAAGCCATATTTTCCCCATCATGTTTCAGTTGATTACAAAAGTCTTATTTTCCCCATCATGTTTCTACTGATTACAAAAGCCATATTTTCCCCATCAAGTTTTTACTTATTACAAAAGCCATATTTTCCCCATCAAGTTTCTACTAACTACAAAAGCCATATTTTCCCCATTACATTTTCTACTGATTACAATAGACAAATTTTTTCTGTCATATTTCTTCTGATTATGAAAGCCATATTTTCCCCATCATGTTTCAAGTGATTACAAAAGTTTTATTTTCCCCATCATGTTTCTACTGATTACAAAAGACATATTTTCCCCATTACATTTCTACTGATTATGAGAAACACTTGAAAAGAAGTTGACATTTCCTTGTAGAGGAAGGCTTTTGGTCAGTTAATGAGGCTTTAAACTGCAAATTGATTTATGAATATGAGTGAATGTCTGTGTAAAATTGGTACATTATACATTATTGGTCTGCTTTATTTATATAATCAACAGTTGCTCATTTTGTCCTTTAATGTTCGGTAGTTTCTAGTGCAAAGTAATTTATTTGTAATTTTACCATTGGAATAGAAATTAGCATTTCCACAGGCATTGCACTATATGTGAAAACGTTAGAAGTAAGGAACATGTTTCTAAATGTTCTAATAATACCATCATTCACCGTTGTTCAGCGTGGTAGCCCACAGATGATTTAATGTTCAAGTCTATCAAAGAGCTCCACAAAATAGTAATTATCAGATTCTGAAGTTGCCACATCTGCCTAACAAGGTTTTTCAGTTGACAATTACTGGAGGAAAAGGACCCTAGGGATAGAGGATTAGTGAAGCTGTTCTTTGGGGATGCTCTTGTATTGAAACTTTGATGAAAAGTATTTTCGTTACTTTCTCTAAAGTAACGTAATGATCTGGTCTTTCAGTCAAAAATTTAAAAGCAGATTCTTTAGCTTTAACTTGAAGGGAAATACAATCATGATTAACCGTTTTGTATTTGATTTTTTGAAATGGACTTAACTGGCTTAATCAAAATTTAAATTGTTCATGTTTAGCTTGTCTGTTTCAAAGAAAAAGTCGTCAGGGTGTTTTTTTTGTGCATTCAAATGACTCAGTTTACCTAGCTATTATTGTAAAACGTTAAAGAACATTATGTGTCATTAATTTTAATTGTCATAATAACGGTGAGAAAAAGTGCAGCCTGACCGGGACTCGAATTCTTAACCTTGGAATACCATTCCAGGGCTATACCAACTGAGCTATCCAGTCGCTTACACATCTTCTCCTCTGAATAGTGAACAGTTCTGAAACATGTCAAGAAAGGAAATGTTGAAATAATTATTATTTGTTCTTTGAAGCATTCATTTTCAAAACTAGGTCAAAATGATAAATCGCACTTGCTGATTATGAAAAAATCAGATTGGCATGTGGATAAGTTGTATAATTATGTTATCATAGTGTCTTATGCAGACATTTTAACCATAGCACCTTTTATTGATTTAGGACTTATAGGGATAATATGAGATTTTCATTATGGTTACCTAAAAAAGCTCATTATCTTATCTGACTCTCATAGATGTTATTAAAAGGACAGAAGGATCAATATCGCATCCACCTGCCATTTATTATGGTCACCTGAAGGTCACAAGTACTAATTATTTAGTAGTACACTAATTAGTAACTGGACACAATATGCTTGGTAAATAATTACCCAAAAATAATCACCCGAGTCCAGATGCAGATGTTCTATAATGAACTATGAGTCCACATGTGCTATAATCAACTATATATGTGGCATTTAATATTTATGAAAACATAATTTTATGTTACCTTCTGAGAAGTCTTACGGGCAAAGAAGACGCAGGCTGGTATAAATTTAAGTCATATGAGCCGTGCCATGACAAAACCAACATTATGCATTTGCGACCAGCATGGATCCAGATCAGCCTGCGCATCCGCGCAGTCTGATCAGCAGGCTGCATCCGCGCAGTCTGATCAGGATCCATGCTGTTCGCTTACCAACTCTATTACAAGTAGAGAAATTGATAGCGAACAGCATGGATCCTGATCAGACTGAGCAGATATGCAGGCTGGTCTGGATCCATGCTGGTCGCAAACGCAAACGTTGGGATTGTCATGGTGTGGCTAATATTATGTCAATAAACGCTAAAAATAGCCCGCTTGCAGCAATTGAAGAGTAACCCTTACCAGCAGTGCCCACCAAGATCAGCCAGCACTTCCATGCCATCCGATGGTCAGCACTGTTCGCTATTCAGTCAGGACATACATATATTTTGAAAATTACGATGAATGGTTTTGTCCCGATTGAAATATGTACAAGTTTATCTAAAATATTTAAAATGGTATAAGGATGTCATTATAGTAGTTTAAATTAACAAAATAAAATTTTATCTGTCCTTGAAAAAATATGTCAACAAGTTTCTTTTTTTATCATAATTATGTTCAATTCATTGTAATGAACAGTTACTTTGATACAGTGAGTGGTATGTCTAGTATATATCACTGATATGAATAATATTTCACTGATAATATTAATGTTATTTTTATATTTGAATCCTTTAATTAAATTGATTCTTTGTTTAATACAATACTTTGCTGAATATTTAAATTTAAATCAAAACATTATTGTAATATATTGTACCACAAGTCATATTGCATGCTATATTAAAGTGTAACTTAATTTTCGTGATCCCACTGGAGATGTTTTCATTTATCTGTGAAACAAAACACCATTAATATTGTTATAGTCATTTTTAGATTATCACTTGATAATAAAACCCATGGCTGTAATTTGAATAGTATTACAGCCATTGTAAATATTACATGGCTTTTAAGGACATAATTTGTTTCCGATTTTATGTAGAAATGGTATACCCCTCGGTTTTATGCAGAAATTATAGACCTTCGGCTGTCCAAACAGCAGTTATATGAAATTTTTTTTTGGTGCCGAGACATAATTGGATATCATTGGATAATTGGTGAGCATTATACAGATAATTGAGGGAGTGAAGCAGTGTGGGTGGAAGATTGGGGGAGTGAAATGAATCACTAGTACAGGCACATTAATCTTGATTAAAAACAAGCTTTAATTTATCCATGATTGTTATATCTCAGAAAATCCCACCTTTTCTGGCGATTATAAAAAATACCGCCACCTGCACAGAAATCTATTAAAAGTTCCACTAGCAGTGTTTTATTTGAATATCAGAGTGATTTAAAGAAAACATTTGAGCTGCGTCACGACAAAACCAACATAGTGCGTTTGCGACCAGCATGGATCCAGACCAGCCTGCCCATGCTGTTCGCTTACAAACCCTATAACAAGGAGAGAAACTGATAGTGAACAGCATGGATCCTGATCAGACTGCGCGGCTGCGTTAGGAAATTTTGTTTCATTGCAAACATTACAAAAATATTTTATTCTACATTGAGTCTTGTAAAGATAAATATATTAACTTGTCAAATACATGAACCAAATGTGTCCCTATGCTCTAACTGCCTGATTTTTATTGGTCAGTTTGCCATCTGTGTTGTGTTATAAATTTGAAAATAAAACAATATTATTAAAGTAAATATAACTAGTTTTTGGAACGTCGGTGGTTCTACTAGGGTGTCCATAGACTTGTGCCTGAAATAATGTACAGAAGGGCAACTGAGGTCTTCCTCCACCACTAAAACTGGAAAGTGACCATATGACCTATAGTTTGTTGGTGCGATATTAAACCCAATAATGATAATAAAATTTAAAAAAATGTAAAAAATAGTAATACATCAGGGTTACAGCATTGTTTCCTGCTATAATGACAGTACTGGTTATTTTAAAAAAAGTTCATCGGTATATAGTAGAAAATTTAAATAAGCTATACGTTGTTTTTTTTGCAATGCACATTACTTAAAATAAATGATGTACATGTATAAAGCAAATATATTTTAAGCTAAAGATGGAAAATGTAACCTCAAATTGATGATTTGTGTTTACTTAATATAATAATTCTTGAAATGATATATACTGAAAATATGGAAAAAAAAGAAACATTAATAGCTGTCATGATTGTGTAAAAAAATCTGGAATTCTTTGCGGACAATTTATAATTTTGTGTTGAATGAAATGTATTCGGTTTTGTGTCTATTACTGTATTTAAAATAATGTTTTAAAAGTAAGCTGCTTTCAACTTGTCATTTTCAACATGTCTCTAAGTGGTTTTATCAATATTTTCTATAAATAAAGAGAAAATGTGCTATTAAATATGGAAGAAAAAACATGAGATAATTAAATTTCATATATAATGTATTTTTTCAATGATATATTTAGCGCCCCATCTGTTTCCATGTTCAGAGATACCTTACATAAAGGACTTTGCAATTGAAAACTATTAATATATACCATACCTGCGTTACAAAACATGAATCAAATCTCATTGACTATAATTCATGTGACTGGAATATCTTGCTGTCAAAGTTTATACGTACTACAGAGAAAATAGGAATGATGAATAGAATATTTAAGAAGTCTCGATCAGTCTCGCCGTCATTTGAAATACCGAAAATATGTTTACCTCGGCAATCTGAGTGCATTGATGATGGATATGACCTTGAAGTCGGTAAACTTTTGAAAGTGCCGAATGAATCTAGAGGACGTTCATCAAGCTTTGATTCAAGCTCTCTGCGCCAGGATTCCTTTACGAAGGAATTACTTAATGTTCCGACTAAGCAGGGTCGTAGATGTCACTCCTTTGATTCGGCATGCACTCTTCAGATGAGCCCTGCAACCTCGGATGAGAGTATATCAGAAACATCTCCGAGTAACTGGAGTCTGAAAGTACCGCAGTATAAAGGCAGACGATCCTCTTTGGATATTCCTAAACTATGCATTCACTGTATGCATTTGGAAGCTAAGGCTCAAGAGTGTGTTGAAAGAGAAAAAGCGTTAAAGATTTATCAGCCTGCAATTGGTGACGAAGATAGTGATGGATATTCATTCACATCTAGTACAAGTTACACATCAACCACGCAAGACTCACTTTCGGACCCATCAGGATTTTATTATCTTACTGACTCGGAGGACGAAGGTAACGAGTCTGATTGTGAGGATAGCTTCGATTCACCGGACTGTAAAATCGCTCATACGACCACACCATGTGAAAGTTTTCCGACTGTGTTCGACAGTAATAATAGCAGTATTAGTCCCGAGAAAAGAAGCATTCTTGACTTTCTAAATGGACATAACTTGCCGCACATAGACAGTAAAGATGAGGAAGACCTGGATGATTTAGTTGATGAACTTTCAGATGACGAAGATGAGAATGAAGATGATGAGGACTATATTAATGTAGTGACATTGACTGTACCAAATATAAAACAACAGCGGTCCTCCTCAATGGATGCATGTTTTATGAAAGATTTAAAAAAGCCCGCGGGACCAAAACAGGTACAAAGACAAAAATCGTTTGACAATGGCGATATGTTAGATGTTCCGATCCAAATACGATCAAGTTCAGTGGATGTTAATTTACCAACAGAGCAAGAATCATGTTACATTGCAATTCCACATTCTGATTCAAGGTAAGCATGCATTGTAATAAATTTTAATTTATAGAGAGAAACACACCCAAAAAACACAGTTTTGATGCTAATTTGTCAATAATGATACACAGTTTTGACCTTGCGGCTTTTATTAAAAAACTGGGGGAAAAAGTGACATCTTTTGTGTCATGAAATCTTTGTCTTTCCAACCTCATAGTGCATTGACACAAGATTGTGGTTGGAAAACTAAATACGCAATATTATGATGATGAATGGCAATTTTTGTTCAAGATCTAGTTTCAATTTAGAAATCTCAAGCTAATTTGGTCATAATTTGTAAATCAGATGAATATGGGAATAAATTTATATTCCTGAGAAATTACAAGCAATTTTTTTTTGCCCCTGGAGATCTACAATAATGACTTTTGCAGGATCTATTTCTCGATTCTAATGTACTGTTAGTATGATTTATTAATCCCTAATGTCGAAGTTTTATGTGAAATATTTTTAAACGATCTTGTTGATGAACTGTTATATATACTTGTATTCTTCAACCCATGGGAACAGGTTGTTAGATCGTACTGTATGGTTAATCAATTTTATAATTTATTGGTTCATTTTTCGTTGAGCAAGTTAGATTTTATATTATTGGCGCTTCAGGGATGCTGCTTACATTTTGTTTACTTTATAAATTTTTGCTGTATCTATGTATGGCATGATTTTTATTATGTAGTACTGTATGGTTAATCAATTTTATAAATTATTGGTTCATTTTTCATTGAGCAAGCTAGATTTTATATTATTGGCGCTTCAGGGATGCTTTGTACATTTTGTTTACTTTATAATTACCATATTTTTGGGTTTTTACCATATGGATTCTAATAAGCACATGGTTATTTGTCTTGATTAATTGAAGTTATGGGAGATCGTAATTTACATCTATTAATCTATGATCATACTAGATTTCAAGTTTAAGTCTTATAAAGGCTTTCAACCTCCATTGCAGTTTTAAGTCTCCTTCTTTGCTCTTTACTGTAAGATACCTTATTATTGAACTTGCTCTTTTGAGAATTGAACATTTTATTACAGTTAAGACGTCACTAGACAAGATGGCTTGTATAGCTGTTTCACAATATACTCTTGAGCAGTAACAATTTAGCTGCGGTTATTCAAATTATTAAATGTTGCGACTTTAAACATCTTGCAAAACAGTCCATCCTCATACCTTAGCTTTAATAAACCTGTATGTAAATAATAAACCTGTATGTTAATAATGTGTTAAAAGTTAAAAAAAGGATATGTTTTATCTACTGTAAGGAATGGGTGTTTGAGTAGATTGGCCAGTGTGCAGTTTGGTCTGAGTGATTCATAATTGTGGTTAGAAGTGTACTGATGGAGATGAAACACATTATTACAACTAAATCACAAATTTTACATATTTCCATGTATTTGAAAAAATGATAATTTGAAAAAGTAATAAATATATAATTACAGTACTGTATACATAACATTACTGTTTAATTGTAATACTTTAAGTATTCCAAAGTAAAATCATGTAAAAACATCATGTAACAGTTCTTTGACTATCAAGTAACAATGACACAGCTTCAAGGTTGTTAACTGCAGGTTTGACTGTATATATAATACCCTGGCAACTATGATCCCCGGATCTTGATGATCTATATTAGTTATGGACTAAATTAAAGGTACAGTCTATTCTGATCTTGGTCTACACTGGTCGCATTGGTAGACTCTGTTGCCCATCAGCAGCCTATTATTTAGTGTTAATTTAGTCTGTAACTTAGACATATAAAATATTAGGCATAAAACAAAGTAAAATGAAGTTATTTATGCACCCCAAGTCAATCTGATAGCATCCATTTATTCACCAAGTTTAGACACACAATTATAAAAAGTTTGAATTTTACCGGAAAGGAGAGAAAAAATTCCTCTCAAAATAATACAAATTTAGAAAATAAAGATTTTAATGGAAATTTTAGTGGAAGAGACTTAAATATTTATTGTAATCCTTAAATCACAAGGCAGAGTGATTGACAGAAAAATTGGAGAGGAGTGCCTTAGAGGAACATATGGGCAGTAATAAAGAGAACATTTGTAATAAAGTGGACAATTTTGTCTGTATTCCAGGAAATAGTGCTGTGTGAAATTACAATTTATTTGTCTGATTTCAAGATATTCTGTAACATGCTGTTTGCTGTATTTTTACAGCCTTAAGACTGGCATTCAATCTTGTAAATCACTTCAACTTTTGTCCTTTTAATGTCTGGATAACAGATTTATACTTGATAATGTCCGGGTTTTGATTTTATATGATTATACTTAAGTGTTAGCTGTTTATGTGTGTTGTATTTCCGTGGCCTCTGATCCTCAAGTCTGCACTTTTCACTATTCCGCCTTTACTGAATTTTTCTCTAAAAGTGATGAATGGATTTTTCCAGATTGAAAGATTGTCGAACATGTTTTTTTTGTATATTGTTATCAAGGTAATTAAGGAATAAGCTTTTGACTCACCAGTGCTCCTCTTGCATTTATGAGGCAAAGGAAGTCAATTCAGAGGACCAAAATGGTATGTGACTTAATAATGTGAGTTCTGACGGCAGCCAATTGTTTTGTTACAATTAAATGAAGGAATTTTAACATAAATTGTTGCAGAGAGCTGACAAAATTCCTGTGTAATATTCACAAAATAAGCCAATGATACACCAAAAATCTGACAATACACAAGTATTTAATTCTTATAAGTTCAGGAAATTTTTAGGTGTTTTTTTTCTAGGCATACAAACACAATATTGTACTAGGGGAAAAAGAAAGTCGGTAATTGGCTTAAGATTTTGTCAAGTATTGGGCTGTCAGTAATAAACTGAATTACTTTTATTAAGAAAATTGAACAGATCCCAACGGAAACATGGTGGAAATAATCTCCAAAAGATCTAATTATCTTCTGTTAAATTAGATTAAAGAATTACTCTGGGACTGAGAAAGTAACATGAGCATATGACCATATTGTTGTTTTTAAGTCTTACTGTCTTTGGAGGATGGACCACATTTTGTATTCTATAATTATATTGTTGATTTTTCACAGATGGTAAAATAACAAATTGATACAGCGAGACTATACAAAAATGAAATAAGCCATAATTTCTTCATGACATTCTCAGATTACAGATTAATAGTTCATATACTGAGAATGATATCTCAGATAGGCTATAAATATTTATGCTTTATGTCCGATAGACAAAATTTTAGCTTCAACATAGTGATACTGACTTTCCATGCTTGCATAATATTGCTGACTTTTCTATACTTGAATTACATGCTGACTTTTCTATGCTTAAACTACTTGCTGACTTTTCTATGCTTAAACTACTTGCTGACTTTTCTATGCTTAAACTACTTTCTGACTTTTCTATGCTTAAACTACTTGCTGACTTTTCTATGCTTAAATTACTTGCTGACATTTCTATGCTTTAATTACTTGCTGTCCTTTCTATACTTAAAGTACATGCTGCTATCACTTTTCTATGCTTAAACTACTTGCTGACCATGCTTACTTATGATGCTGACTGTCTGTGTTTAAATCATGAATTGACTTTCCATGCTTGACCTTTCTAAGCTTAAATCACATGCTTACTTTTCTATGCTGTAAGTACATGCTGACTTTTCTATGCTAAGATCAACATGCTGGCTTTTCTGTACTTTATATCACTGTGCAGACTTTACATCCATTTGGAACATTTCCTTGTTTAATATGATATCAAAAATGTTTATGATCGAGCATCAAACATTTTTAAGTCTGGCCACAGTGCTTAGAAAGTGCACAAAGGCCAAGACTGATGATCTGTACTTTAAGTTACCAGTTATATAACTAGATCAAAACATTTTTTTTCCAAGAAAATAAGGTTATTGTCACACAGGTACTTTATAATGATTATATGATAGTTATCTCTGTGAGAAGTGACGTTTGAGTCCATTGTCAGCCTATCTGAAACCTTCCAATCTTTTCTAGGTAGGTGGCAAAATAAACATGACATTTATGACAAGAAAATTATGACAGAGATATTGACAACGTAAATACAACAATGTCAAGAAAAAAGTACATTCTGCACTGCTGTCTTTGACATGATGTTGATTTATAAGCCAGTAAGTCAACAATGTTTGTTATTGTGTAAGCTGGCTTGTAGTTCAATGTTGTTGTGCAAAGATATCACTTAAATAACAACATACTGACAATTGACACCCTATCCTTTTGCATTAAACTGATTGTAGACACATTGACATGGTTAAGACACATTGACATGATTTGTTATCCAGTTATAGACACATTGACATGGTTAGTTATCCTGTAATAAACACATTGACATGGTTAGTTATCCATTTACAGACACATTGACATGGTAATTTAGCCAGTTTAATATACATTGACATGGTTAATTCTCCAGTTATAGACACATTGACATGATTATTTATCCAGTTACAGACACATTGACATGGTTAGCTATCCAATTATATACACATTGACAAGGTTAGTTATCCAGTTATAGACACATTGACATGGTTAGCTATCCAATTATATACACATTGACAAGGTTAGTTATCCAGTTATAGACACATTGACAAGGTTAGCTATCCAATTATATACACATTGACAAGGTTAGTTATCCAGTTATAGACACATTGACAAGGTTAGCTATCCAATTATATACACATTGACAAGGTTAGCTATCCAATTATATACACATTGACAAGGTTAGTTATCCAGTTATAGACACATTGACATGGTTAGCTATCCAATTATATACACATTGACAAGGTTAGCTATCCAATTATATACACATTGACAAGGTTAGTTATCCAATTATATACACATTGACAAGGTTAGTTATCCAGTTATAGACACATTGACATGGTTAGTTAGCCAGCTATAGACACAGTGACATGGTAAGTTATCCAGCTAGACATATTGACATGGTTAGTTATCCAGGTTTAGACATATTAACATGGTTAGATATCCAGTTAAA